CATGTTATTTTGGACTTTAGATTTATGGTATAACGTTATCTTGTAGGAATTTAGTGCATACAATTCCCCTGATGATAAATTTGTCTATGGCACCTGTGCAACTAAGCTGTCAAGAAGCTCGGAATCTTGCCAATCTTCCATGTCTGGGGACAGCAAATGTACGACGCGTGGAAAGCCGATGCAACAAAGACGTTATTGATTTTCCTTTTGTTCCTGCAATTTTTCTCTTACCCGAGCATTTTGTTTTAGCTCTTATGTTGTCATAACATTTCAGCTCGTTTCTGTTGTCTGTTGTAAGATAAATGCTATCTCAGCACGGTGCATCCTTTGTGCATATTCCCTTTTTTTGTGTTGTTTGAATTTATAAAGCATAAATAAGGCCACAGGTAATTGAAAAATTTCATGTGTTGTGTTGCAGTATATTTTTTTGCAGTATGCTTAGCGTGCGTTTGGATATAATATATCCACTCAAAAGGAGTGTTCTTAGTAAGCTCAAGTTAATTTTGAATAAGGTAGTATGATTATTTTATAGTGGAATTTTGATTTTATATTAAAATAATATTTGAAAAAATAATTAAAATTATAAGAGTGATAATGTGAAGTGATTGATAGTTTAAATTATATGAGTGGATGAATAATGAATTAAAGTTGGTGTGAAATACAAAAATGATTTAGTGATAAAGATAGTGATGTTGAGTTAAAGTTGAGTGATTTAAGTATGAATTGAATTTATTTAACATATTCAAAAAAGTTTTAGGTCAAGGGAGCACTGGCAATATTAATTAAGTTAAAAAAGACAAAGAACATTAATTGATTTTTATTTTTATCCACCAAAAATTGCACAACTATTGTAGTTAGTAATAATCTCTATATATACTATTAAATATGAAATTTATAAATATTCTATACAAAAATTTCTGCTAAATAATTTATATATTATTTATAAAATTGATATTTCCAATTAAAAAATTTAATTTTTTGGAAAGAAATATATTTCGCTAAAAAGACGTATTCGTTTAGGATTTCAAATGATATTTTTCGACTTTTGCGATTTGAGACTTTTTAAAAGATTTTCAGATTTTGGAGAAATCATGTGAAATCTTAAGTTTGAAGATGAGATTTTGAAAAAGATTTCGCATAAGTATTCTTTTTTAGAAATCCTAGCAAATCTTAAAATGCATTACGTTATGAACACATCTTAGTTTCAAATAAATTAAATACCTAATAATTTTGTCAGACTTTTTAAAATCACAAATAAATATTCCAACACTTTTAAAAGTCCTACAAAGTCGAAAGTAAATACACCAATATTTCTAAAGTTTTAAAAAGTCTTAGAAATATCAAGTAAATACACCCCATAAATTTTATGGATAGATAAATTAAAAGGTAACTATAAAAGTATAAATACTTTCATATTGCCTCAAATTAATTATATGCTAAATGATCATAAATTAATAATAAACAAGTATGTAGTCAGTGCAATGCACGAGACTGTTAAGTTCTTTTTCGTCAATTGAACCACTGAATTGCTGATGTGTTATTTGAGTTTTGATTAGCGATTTAATGGGATAAAAGAGGTGATAAAAAGTGAAGACAAACAACGACAATAAAACTACCAACGAATTTAAATGTTTCCACCGGAGATTTTTACTTAGGAATTTGAACCACTTTAACAACAGGTCAGACTGGCCTGTTGTTGACTGTGGCTCTATAGTGCTCCTCGGTGGTCCCATCGGCATGACCGTAGGTACATCTTGTTGCGTCTGGGGTAGAACCATGACCTCATTGCTCGATTTGACCTTCGTCTAGCTGCTCGGGCCTGCGACTGCAACTGGACCCGCCGATGATATCCCTAAGCCCACAGGGTTAGTCATCGAGGTCATCGGGGTTTGAAACGGCCCAGAGAAGCCCAGTGGTGGACCTTTTCTGAGCAGACGCGTGGTGGTCCACACATCATCGAAAGTGTGCTCTAAGTTCTTCCTGGGAGCTTCGTTCGTCATGGCTATGGTGTTTGATGGCTTTCTGAATGTAAGGTCCCACAGATCAAGTCAGTCCACAA